CTCTGAAATGCTCTCCAATTTATTCTGTATGTACTTTGTATGTACATTGTTGTTTTCATGTTTTCTCCATTATACTATGAGGTCCTTGAGAACAAAAAACTTTTTTTTCTTTCTTTGTATTCCCAGCACTTTGCACAGCTCCTGGAAGTACTATAACCAATTGACTGGCCTGTTCTATCACCAGATCACTCTCCTTATGGCCTTCAGACTCCTTCAGATGTGAGATATCCTCTCTAATAGTCTACGCCTCTTGAAAAACAAATACCAGAAGTTTTTCTGGATCTACCTCTTATTTTCTTGTCCTTTTCTCTTTACTTTTCTTCTGGGTCATTTCTTTCTCTGGAAAGCTAGAGGGATTATATTCTCAGCTGTGCTCTTCCCATCCTTCTCTTCCTCTGCCCTAATATACTCAGCTGTCCCCTTAGGGTTGAGAAGACAGTTTTCCCAGTCCTGCCAGTGGTATGATTATTCCTATGCTGTCCCTAATTCCAGGGTATCAGATAACCAAATGCTCATAGCAAGTCTTCCCAGCATCTGAAGCATCTTGTCCTCCCTAATATTCCCCTCTTTGAACTAAGAGGGCATTATATCTATATCAAATGCCAGGGGCAGGTTAATAAATCTAATATCCTGGCATAATAAGCATTCAGTTAAGTCCAGTGCGTTTATTCCTTTGCCCAAAGAACTGTTGTTTAGTAGATTAGTCATGTCCAATTCTTTGTGAGCCTTTTTGGAGTTTTCTTGAAAAAGATACTGCAGTGGTTTGCTCTTTCCTTCTCCAGCTCATTTTACAGATGAGGAACCTGGGCAAACAGTAAGTGTCTGAGGATGGATTTAAACTCAGATCTTCCTGACTCCAGGGCTGTCACTCTATCTGCCATACCACCTACCTTTCCCTTACTCAAAGAATAAAATATGTTAAAGAATATATGGTTGTGTGAAGCTTTTTGTGTTTTCCTTTCCTCCATAAAGGCATACTTATGACCCCAGAGTGTGATTTCATAGTGTTCTGTCTACTGGACAGAACTGGAGTGCCTTCATATCGAAGAACCTATTTTCTCTCGCTCCCCCACATGGCCACTGATTAAGTCCAGCCCTTTGGGGATGTGTATCTTGCCTCATTGCTTACCTTCTGTGACGGGAGAGAGGTGATATCATGCCACTTCTCTCCCTTTCTCTGGATAAATGTTGTATCTACATCCTAGCTCTGAATTATTGTCATTTGTTATTCTACAGATTATGTTACTCTCCTACTCAATAAACTCAAATAGTTCCCTATTGCCTTTAAGATAAAATATGAATTCTTCTGTAAGGCTTTTAAAGCCTTTTACAACCTCTACCCATCCTATCTATCCAACCTTGGTGTATCCAACCTTCTTTCTTGTACTTCACAGTCTTCCAGACTGCCGTTTGAGGCAGCTAGGTGGCACAGTGGATAAAGCACTGGGCCTGGAGTCAGGAAGACCTTATTTCAAATGCATTCTCAGTCACTTACTAGTTGTGTGACCCTGAGCAAGTCACTTAACCTTTCTCCCTCAGTTTCTTCAACTGTAAAATGGAGATACTAATAGCACCTCTCTTCCAGAGTTGTTGTGAGGTTCAAATGAGATAATATTTGTAAAGCTCTTAGTATGGTTACTGGCACATAGTAAGCCTTTGTTTCCTTCCTTACTATTTCTCACATATGACATCATGCTTTTTCAGAGGCCAAATTCTACACTTGGAATGCACTCCCTCCTTACCTTCAGCTCTTTAAATCCCTTGTTTTCTTAAAAACTCAGCTCAAACACCACCATGAAGCTTTGCCTGATCTCCAGAACTGCTAGTGCCTTCCCTATAACAATGAGCTTATATATTTTGTATATTCACCTGTTGTCTCCCCTGAAAGAACATAAGCTCCCTGAAGGAAAGGAAAATTTTAATTTTTGTCTTTGTATCCCCACATGTGTGAGGTGCAACACTATGTTCTACTGTTGTTTGTCCTTCTTTCTTGAAGAGGACCAAGACATCGAGGAGGTGATGCCACAACACGCAAGTGAACTGGATTTAAGTGAGGGAGGGCAGTGCAAAGTCACCAGTCTTACTTTCTCCTCTGCAGCCATCTGGAACAAGTGGTAAGATATAGATCAGGATGACTGGAGATGGCCCTGGATGCAGTGGGAGCCCTTGGCCTTTTTAAGCTATGGTCTTTAACAGGTCCCAGTTTGACTGAAGCAATGCTCATTTAGTGATTAAAGCTAGGTAAGGATGGAGGTAAGAGATGGCCTAGTTTGACTTCCCAAAAGGGATCAGTCTGGGAGAGGAAGAAACCTCGGAGTTTCTGGCCAGAACAAAAACAATTGCTATTTACACTCACTGAGCCATCAAAACCCAAACAATGAGCAAGTGAGACTTGGGCTGGGATCTTGCTGCTTAATAAAATGCTTGTTGATTGATTGGTTCTGTTGCAGTCTGAGAGGCTGAGACCCCTCAAAGACCAGAGTACAGGACAGGTCGTCTGGAATGAATTCACAGACTCAAGCACTCTTTAAGTCAAGTTGGCAAAGATTTATTGTTATGCTATATAGTGGGCAAGGATTCTTTTTTTTTTTTTTTTTGATGAGGCAGTTGGGGTTAAGTGACTTGCCCAGGGTCACACAGCTAGTAAGTGTTATGTGTGTGAGGCCAGATTTGAACTCAGGTCCTCCTGACTCCAGGGCCAGTGCTCTATCCACTGTGCCACTTAGCTGCCCCAGTGGGCAAGGATTCTTAAGGAACTTTTGAGAGACTGAGCATGGTACTGGGGTTTATATGGAAAAGGGCATGGGAAAGGAATGCCAGGGATACTAATTAGGTAATCTAAAGGTCCAGGTGTCTTTGTGAGCTATGGATGGGAAAGTGGAGGGAGTATACCAGACATTGAGGGAGTTGTCAGAGGCATGGACCTTGAGGATCTGGTGGGCCTTAGATCAGCCAGGGACAAAAATCCTTGGGCCAGGCAACCCTCTCTCTGTTCTGATTAGAGAATGTGTTCTACAACAAGAAAAATTTTCTCACAGGACAGGAGCCTACTAAGAAATTGGAAGGCTTCCAGAGACATGATCTTAGCGCTGGGGCCTGAGCAGCCCATCACTCTCTCACCCAGCTTTGTGTAACTGCACCAGGGAGAGTGATAAGTGGCTTGCTGGGGCTTACTCATGAGTAATTGCTAGGCACAGTGCCCTTGGGCTGGAGGGAAACTGCCAGGGGTAGTGTTTCTGAGGCTAGGGACAAATATGGTCTTGGAATTGGGGTCCCAGTACAAGCACTCAAACACCCCATCAGTTCTATTCAGGAAAGATAATAATGGGTTTAGACAGAACCATAACAGCCTTAGGCTATCTCATTTGAGTTTGTTTTATATACTTATAATACATGAATAAGCCACTGAGTGTGGAAATGAATCAAAAGCTTTGCAATAATCAGTAAAGGTGGTATAAATATCATATAGCCCTTTTAAGTGACTTGCTCAATAATCACTGAATCAATAATGAATTGTTCTTTAAATACCCTTTTCCTCCTTGGCCAGTATACTGTTTTTTTTGTGTTGACAAAATTTGGGGGTGATCCAAGATATGAATACATAGAATACATAAACATGGATATGGCGTACATTCAGAGGGATCATTCATGTTCTTTTGGTAATTAGTATTTGATGCCTTCCATTAACCAAGCTGGATCAAATTTGCCTTCAAGAAGCTGGTGAAGTGTATTGATAATAATTTATGCACTACTGTAAAGTGCCAGTAATTATGAACCTTATCTATCTTGCAGCTCTCCAACAATGTTTTCTAGTTGTTGTTGTTTTTTTTAATCACCTTCCTTGATATAGCAAGGTTAAGTACGTTACCTACTTATAATTAGTTTGAACCTGTAACTAGATAAGTTCCAGGAACAATAACTCTTTTATCTCAACTATCTTTCTGTGTCTTTTAGAACCTCCTTCTGGGGCTCTGGACACTGAGCAACTTAAATGTTTGTTGAACAAATGACTGCGTAATGACCATGAGGATCTCAGCTTATATTTTTATGGTGTTTTACTATTTTCAAAAAGGTTTTTTATACACATTACCTTTATTCCTTCCCATAATATGAGGTGGACAGGTAATAGCCTTTTATTAAAAATGAGAAAACAGAGTTAGAGAAGGATTGTGACTCGCCCAAGGCCACACAGCTTGAAGGTAACTACAGTGTGAATTCCAAGTCTGTGTCTAACATTCCTTCTATAACACCATTTTATTAAAATAGCATTCTTGCTCAGGAGATAGAGGGATACGAAGGCACCACTACCATCCAGGGCAATGTCACCCCACCCCACCCCCTCTCCCTTCCCCTCGCGAAGAATAAAAGGGAGCCCACTCTAGAGAACGAAGGTGAGGAACTCCTTGAGAGACCATCTAAGTACAACACGTTAGCTTCTTTCACTACTACCCAGCTCCCATTTCCAGGGCTTCCCGGCTAATTCCTGCAAAGTCGGCAAAGCCATTTTGGAATCGGGCAAAGTTTCCCATCCATTGGCTTCTTAGGGCGGGCAAAGGGTCTCTGACAGTTGAAAGGGCACCCTTTTCCTGTTCTGCTTACTGAACCTCCAGCTAAGTGAAAGTTTGTTTTTTCCTGTAAATTTTTTTGTTTTACCAGCTTTGGCATTCCTTCTACGCCTAGGATCTGTAAGCCAATTTTTGCCAGAATGCAAGATGGCCATCACCGCTTCGTCCGCCCTCCGTTCCTCTTTTGTAACGGAAGTGGACCCTCTGGTCCGCTCTATGGTACCTTCCCCCCGCCCCCCCACGCATAAATCCGGAAGTAACCTTCCCGCCCCGACCTCATTCAAACGACCACTTTCCTGTGGTTCCTGGTGCTACTGCCTCTGTCGCCGTCTTCAACTAGGTAGGCGCGTTCTCAACTCACCTGCTCTGCCGCTCTCCCTGCCATCTTGGGGTGGTAGGACTTATCGAATTCATTTTGCCAGAATAAGAGGGAAGGCGTGAATGAGTGAATACACACACTTGCATCTTCCTCTTTGCTGCCCTCTCTCCTCAGTAGCCGGAGGACGCTGGAGAAAAGCGAAAAGAAAGGAAGAGCCCTGGTTGTCAGTGATGCAGGGGCCTGGGGGGCTTGGGCTTTCTCTTCCTGCTGGATGCTGGGGACAGGATTCCTCTCTCCCCATCCCATCTTAGGAACTCTTGCTGGTTGGTAGGAGTGAGCTTTAAAACTGGAAGAGCCATCGAAATCAACCCTCTCATTTTACGGAGGAGGAGACCGAGGCTCAGAGGTAAAGAGATTTGCCAAAGACCACACAGCTAGTGTCAGAGCCATGATGTGTCACACAGAAGCTTTGTGTAATTTTCCTTCTTTCTAGGTGTCAAGGCTACTCCTCTTTCCCCACCCCCTCCCATTCTCCCAAGAAATAGTACATATCCAAGCTCTATTATCTCTGAAGGTTAATAGAAGTGAACAAAAAGCTGCCTTCCGACCACATAGTTCACAGGAACCAGAGTTTTAAATCAAGGAAGCTCTACTCAATTCATAATAGAAAAATTTCCCTTAAATCCATGACTTTTTCAGGATACTACTCTTTTCTGACATCTGTTGTACTAATAAATAACAGTGTCAGTTTATTAACTGTGATGGATGAGTTAACAAGTATGGCTGGGTAAGTAGCCTCATAATTCTGTAGAAACAAAAGCAGCCTTAAAGGTTTTCCTCAAATGAGGTGTCTTCCAAATATATTTTAAAATCACACCAGATTCAATGACAAATGCAGCCTGATTTTCAGCATCAAGCCAGGCATGAAATAGATGTATACTCACCTAAGGAGTTCACCAGTGTCACAAAGGATACCTCCATAGAATGCAAATAGAAGCTGTTCCTTATCATCCGTAAAGTTCTCCAATGTTCCTACTTTCTTTTTTTTCTTTTTCACTTTACTATTTATTGAAAACATTGAAATTCTCCCTTCCTTCCACTTACTGAGAAAGCAAGCAATATGATATCAGTCATTCATGTGAGATCATATAAAACATTTCCATATTAGCCATATTTTTTTAAAAAGCAAGAAAATAAAGTGAGAAAATTATAAAATTTCTCCTGCTTTCAGATGACATTGTACTAATTCTTTTGAGCGCAGAAAGACCTGTATCCTTTCATTTTTAGCACTTCTGAGAAAGGTGCTTTTGAGTGAGTTTCTTCCAGAATTTTGAAGTTATAGAGGAAAAGAAAAACTCACCTCATTTATTTAATGAACATTTGGGGAAACATCCAAAACCTTGTGATTATTTTTTGTAAGTGTCCACATAAATTCTCTGATGCTTCTCCTCACTCTCTTAAACTTACTGCAGTATGGTTTGTGACTGTTATTCAACCGAAACCTTTCTCTCTACACTTAAATGGTTTGCTATTTCAAAACCTCTCTCCACAGTTACCAGTGGTTTGCCAATTCATGATTTATATTTGTATCCCCAATGGCCCAGCATTATGCCTTATTTATTAATTGATTACCTCGTAACTGTGGATGTCCTCCAAGGCTCAGTCCTAGAGCATTTTGTATTTGATGCCGGAAGCAATAGGGAGCCCTTGGAGTTTATTGAGTGACATGGTCAAACCTGAGCTTTAGGAAAATCACTGATGGTTGAATGGAGGATGGATTGGAGTAGGGAGAGACTTGAGACAGGAGACCCATTATTAGGCTATTGAAATAGTCCAGGCATGAAATGATGAGGGCCTGCATCAGAATGGTGGCAGTGTAAGAGAAGATGGGGGCATATCCGAGAGATGTTACAAAGGTGAAATTGATAGGCCTTGGCAACAGCTGGAATGTGAAGAGGTAAGAAATAGTGGTGGCAAGAGTCAAGAATAACTCCTAAGTAGTGAGCTTGATGGATTGGAAGGATGGTATTACCCTCTATAGTAATAGGGAAGGCGGTGGTAGTGGTGGTGGAAGGTTTAGGGAAAAAAATAATGAGTTCTATTATGGACATGTTTAGTTTAAGATGTCTATTGGAGGTCCAGTTTGAGATATCTGAAAGGCAGTTGGAGATGAGTTTGGAGGTCAGCTCAGAGTTTTGGGCAGAATAGGTAGATTTGAGAGTCATTGGCATTATGGTAATTAAATCCATTGGAGCTAATGAGACTACATATAAAGCAGTATAGAGAAAGAAGAGAAGAAGACCCAGGACAGAATCCTGAGGAACACTTATGTTTAGAGGAAGTGATCTGGATGAAGATCTAGCAAAAGGAACTGAGAGGGAGTGGTCATATAGGTAAAAGGAGAACCAGGACAGTGGTGTCTGTGTCCCAAAAATCTAGAGAGAAGAGAGTATCAAGGAGGAGAGAGTGATCAACAATATCAAAAGGGCAGCTAGGTGGCCAAGTGAAAAGAGTGCTTGGCCTGGCATCAGGAAAACCTGAGTTCATATCCAGTTTCAGACACTTATTACCTTTGTGATTCTGGGCAAGTCACTTTAACTTCTGTTTGCCTCAGTTTCCTCATCTGTAAAATGAGAGTAATAATATATATTATAATAATAAAATAATAATATTCTCCTAGTCTGTTTTGAAGTTCAAAAGAAATAATAATTGTAAAGCACTTAGCAGAGTGTCTGGCACATAGTAAGCACTATGTAAATGTTAGCTGCTATTATCATCTCTGAAAGGCTTCAGAGAAGTCAAGGAGAATGCGGATTGAGAAAACTAAGAGATCATTGGTAACTTTGGAAAGAGCAGTTTCTGTGGAGTGATAAGGCTGGAAGCCAGATTATAAGAGATTAAGGAGAAGAGAAATTGGAGGCACCTATTGTAGATGCCTTTTCAAGGAGTTTAGTTATAAAGGGTAGAAGAGATAAAAGATGGAAGGGTCAAGTAAGGGTTTTCTCTCTTTCTTTCTCTCTCTTTTTTTTGCTAGGCAATGGGGTTAAGTGACTTGCCTAGGGTCACACAGCTAGTAAGTGTCAAGTGTCTGAGGCCAGATTTGAACTCAAGTCCTCCTGACTTCAAGACTGGTACTCTATCCACTGTGCCACCTAGCTGCCCCACAAGTAAGGGTTTTTTGAGGATGGGGGAGATAAGGGCATGTTTATAGGCAGTAGTGAATTAGCCAGTAGACAGGGAGAGATTAAGAATAAGTGAAAGAATGAGAATGACAGAGGGGGCAATCTGTTGGAGAAGATGAGATGGAATGAGGTCACTTAACAAGTAGCCTTGGTAAGGAGTAAATCACTCTATCATATGAGACAGGGGTGAAGGAGGAGAAAGTGGCAGAAGGCATCAGAGCCATAGGATATGAGGAAAATGGAGTTCTCAGCAAATGGCCTCAATTTTTTTTTTTTCTGTAAAATGATGAGGCCAAGATCTCAGCTGAGGTGAGTGGAGGAGGGTGGTGGTGGTGGTGGTATAAGAAGTTTGAACAGGGATGAAAAAGATTTGGAAGAGCTGTTGTGGAGAGTTAGATAATGAATTGATAAGGGAGGTGTGGTAAGTTTGCCTAACAGCAGTGAGGGTCCAGATGAGGTTGTGTAACATAAATTTATAGTAAAACCAGTCAGAATGGTTGTGTGATTTTCTCCATTTTTGTTCAGCTGCATATGTCTAGGAGTGAAGGTGGTGAATCATGGGAGTGATCCAAAGATTGATAGAGCATAATTGGTGATATCATAAGGGGGATAGTTGAATTAGTTAGTCAAGAAGTCAAGATGAGGAAAAGAGGAGAGTGTGCCTAGTGCAGGGGAAACAGCCTAGGAGATAATTGAGACGTCAAGGGATTGTCTCCTAGATTTGCAACCTAGGCATCTTCCTGTACTGTACTCTTCTCTCAATTATATCACAGCAATTGCCAAATCTATTTTTTCTGCCTTCACAGTCTCTTTTGTATATATCCCCTTCTCTCCACTTTCACAGCTACCTTATTAGTTCAGACCCTCATTACCTTTCATAGTAGCTTTCTAATTGGTTTCTGCTTCAAATCTTGCCCCACTCTAATCTATCCTCCACATAAATTGCCAGTGATTTTCCTAAAGTGTTAGTTTGACCATTTCACTCCCATGTATCTCCCTGTGAGAAAAGTCAAAAGTATATAGACTACTGAATTTGAATAGTAGCAGAAATTTCTTCTCTTCACATAAAGTACCATACTAGGTATGTACCTTCCATGTCCTTAAGTCTACTGGTAGTTGAATTTTGATCACGCTTTTCATTTAGTCATCTCTGGAGGAAAGCCATTTTGCAAAGCCAGTAATTCTTTTTGCATTGACACCATGATGGAATCATACCCACTTCCTCTTTGGCCTTTAGAAAATGCATCTATAACATATATATATATATATATATATATATATATATACACACACATATATATGTATATATCTTTCCTTATATAGTGATAGATTTTGGAGTCTTTCTCCTCTTCTGGGTTTGTGTCTTAAGTGTCTCTGTCATTTTAATAGCTCTTTATAGTGGGCTTCTTTTTTTAGTTTGACCATCTTTCCAGCTTACTTTGTGATTTCAGACAGTGTCGGGGCTGGCCTCTGTCACACTTCTAGAGGAAAGGTTCGGACTATTCCTGTTGACTTCTTTCTTGGGATATTGAGTATTGTATTATTTTAGGATCTCAGGGAGAGGCTGGGGACCTGAAAGCTTCCAATGACCTCTAAGTATCTGGCTCCAGGGCCAGGTCTCACTGCTGCCCCCCTGTTCTGAGCTCTGTAAGTTCTTGATCTGGTTTTGGGGTCTGTACAAGAATAGACTGCTGTTGGACTCAGCCCCTGTCAGCCTGCTCTGTTAATTAAGGGCAGAATTGTAGGTTCCTTTTTGGTTTGATATTCCTATTCTGTTTATTCCTCTGCAGGCTGGGCTAGAGACCCTGTTCTGTATGAGCCACATTACTGCTGGTTTTTGAGCTTCCTTCTTTCTTGGTATGCCATGCAGGGACTCCTTACTCAGGAATGCCATCCTTATGTACAAATCTGTGATCTGAAACTCTGTAATAGGGGGACAAAGCTACTAGTTCACACCTGTTCCCATTGCAGGGCCTTGATATGGGTCTAGTGGAGCCCCACTAGGTCTGGGACCTCCTTTTGCCCCAGTACACAGCTTCTTCCTTGGTGGTAGACTGTAGTACTGCTGGCCTGGCCCTATCCCCTGTCTGTCAACTGTCAATAGACCCTTTTGTCTGTTTCCCTTTGCCAAGGTGGGCTGGACAGATAACTCACTATAACTTTTTCTGTTTTTTTTTTTTTTTTGCCATCAGGATTTGCTTTGTTGCATTTTCTAGATGTGTTAAAAGGAGTTTTGTAAAGAGCAGTTCTGCAACACTGCTTCCTACAACTCTGCCATCTTGGCTTTGCATCTTGGTTACTTGTTATCCTTTGTTGAAGAGGACCAAAATTATTATCCTGTAGTTTAAGTACTGTGGGCAGAGATTCTGGGCCCCCAGGAACAAAGTTCTGCAGGTCTCAGGTACCCCTGGAGTATTTGGTCAGAAGGCTAGTAGGCTTCCAGCCTACTGATCTGTGTTCGCACTGCCTTCCCTAACAGAGTCCCTTTCCTGCTGCTCAGAGGATTTTGATTGACTTTTTGTTCTGGACAAAGGCACTTCCTATATTTCTTTTTAGATTTCTTGATCATTACTCAATCTGGGGTCTTTTTAAGAGCTTTGCTAGATTAATATGTGGGACAGATGGGTTTCTCTGTGACTTTCCATGTTGCCATCTTAATTGGAAGTCTACAAAGCTTTGATGGGTTGTATCTTGAATGGACCCAATATTTTTATATGGACCCTCTAGGGCAATAGAAAGAATGCTTGATTTCTAGTCAGAAAACCACTTTTTACATGTACAGCCTTGGGCAAGTGACTCAACAGCCTTACACCTATTTCCTCAACTGCAAAATGAAGGGACCTGGAGTAGATGACTTCTCAGTGTCCTTCCCACTCTGATATCTTTAAAATATCTTTTTTCTTGTCATAGGAGAGGGACTGAGGGAATATTGAGGCAAAGAATGAAGTCATTGTGATACCTCCTAGACTTTTAGAACATTAGAACTGAGAGCACCTTAGAAATTAGTCCAACTCCTTCATTTTACAGTTAAAGAAACTGGAGCAGAGGTTGTTTGACTTGTCCAAAGTCATAGCTAACGATCAGCTTTCCTGGGATTAGGACCCGGGTCTTCTTAGTCCTAGTTGTGTTTTGCTGCATTCTTCATTAGTCCCTAATAATAATGCCTAGTAGAGTACCTAAAAAAGGCAATTGAAGAGCACTTAACCAGAACGACTAAATGTTTCTTTGATTATTTGGATCTTTTTTTATTATTTGATCAATTATTTGGATCAATAATGATTACCTGGATCATTTCCCTCCAATTCTGTGTTCTTCTCTACAAGTCTTTTCTTACCTTGGGAGTAGTTCCAGAAGCCAGGCATGTATATGCAGATAGAGACCCGAACTGGCTCCCTTCTCCATCTGAAGAGGTCTCCTGGTATCCGATCCTGGTCTCTTCTTGTAGGTAAGCCCAATATACCTGGCTTTTTTTCTCCTTCCACCTATTTTCCTTTTTGCTACTCACACCTTCCCTCACAAATGGGAAGGAGTTATTTGTTCAGAGCTGTTGCTTCCTAGCTTCTATTTGTAAGCTCTGTGGGGGGAGGGAACAGAATCATCTGATATTAATCTTCTGATGGGTGACTAGAGACAATCTAACTAAGGTTTTTTATTTTTCTTGTTTCAGGGATCTTGTCCATTGGCTTGGCAGCTGCATACTACAGTGGAGGTACAGTGGCCCTGTTGCTGCTTGTTAAGGATTTATTTTCCTTGGGTTTTTTTTACTTTCTACTCTTGATTTTTCACTGAGGTTCTTCTAGCATTTTTATATTTTTCTGTGCTGACCTCTTCTGCTTCTTCATTTCCCTAAGGTTGCATTGATAATCAGATCATTAGTCCAGTCATCAAGTTTTTATTGAGCACCTTCTGGTCAGGCTTTCCCAGTTCCTGACTCTTCAACCTTCAGTTGTGTATTTGTCATGTCAAACTCAACTGGAAATGGAGGCCTGTACATGAGGCTGTAAATTGACTTAGTTTTAAAATGTAATATTATCTGTTTTTTATATTTTTATTTGTTTTGATAAGTATTTCCCATTTACATTTTAATCTGTCTCATCACACCTGAGAGTGTTGTGGGCCTATGAATCTGTGAGCTGCGTGTTTGTCACTTCTGTTGTACATCATCAAGAATATGACTAACTTTGCTCACCACATTGTATTTTGTTTCTATTAATAATTGTGTGACACCCATTGGTATGGAGATGTTTAAAGATGAATTTTAATTTATCCAGGAGGGATTTAATGAATTTATATGTTTTGATGCCTTTTTTCCCTCTTGACCCACATTAGAATTAGGATTAGAAGCCTAGTGTTCTTTTTCTGGCTGGAAATTGGCCTACGTGTGATATAACTCTATTTTGGTATGCTTTGAATCTCTTCCTTCCTTGGAATTATCCACTTATCTTCACAGGGAGCCTGAGTCTCAGACTGTAAGGGCATTTCTGCTCATAAAATCACAGGTTCTTAGAGGTGAAGGGACCTTAGATATCATCTAATTCAAACCACTTCATCTTACACAGACAGAAATAAGGCCTAGAGAGGGGAATTGACTTACTCAGTATTACATATTAGCAGTGCCAGATCCATGATCTTGTCTCTTGGTACATTGTTTTTTGTACCCTACTGTATACCCAAACATAGAACTAGATATGTATGAGACTAAATAATTACACATTTTTCTTTTGGTTTTAAGTAATGAGTTCAGTGCTTTAGATTCCAGGATTCTTAGAAATCCTCTAAGCTCATCCTGATGTTAAAAGGAAGTTACTTAGACTGTACTAAGTTATCTTCAGTATACAATGCAGTTTGTCTGCAGGCTATGCTCTGAGTAGGTTAGTAATAGGACATTAGTCTTTAAGATCTACAGAGAATTTTTCCTCCCTCCCTCCCTCCCTCCTCCCCTCTTTCCCCCACTGAGTGTAATTGCTACTGCTGTTTAGGAAGGTACTACAATGGTAACTGCCCCATGGAGTGGGTGAGAGGAAACTTTTGTCTTTCTGGGCTTGTTTGCTTTCAGTTCATTGTTGGCTTCTCCTTTTTGCCATTCATAGCTATTTACTCTGGGTATTTGCTTTCTAGATAATCTAGGCTGGAAATTCTTCTATGTCACAGGGTGTCTATTTGTGGCGGTGCAGAACTTAGAGGACTGGGAGGTAAGGGCTAAAGTAAACAGAGGTGGTTGATGGAAGAATTGGGTGGGAGGCTCCCCAGGGCAGGAGAAAAGCCAAGTGCTCTGTGTGGATTCAGGGGGAAGGTCATTATTGACTGAGGGACATCATGAAAGATTTCATGAAAGAGGTGGTGTTTGAGTTGGGCATTTTAGAGGTTGGGTAGAAATTTAGCAGATGAAGAGGGGAAGGGAGGGCAGTCCAGGATAAAGACACAGAATATAAAAGTGCAGGGAGCATTAGGGGACTAGAGAGTAACCTTGTTTGGCAAGAGCAGTCTGTGGAGGAAATATGCTGTAACTTCTTAAGAATCCTCCATCATTGTTATTGTTTTTAGTGGCAGTTAGGATTAGAGGATGCCCATTAACAAATCTGGGACTATGAGAATCTGTATTGTGCTGTTGTACAACTTTTGCTTTAATCTAAGAATAAGTTTCAATAATGATCAAACTCTGTGCCCGAAGATATTTCTCCCGTGTCTCAAGGAAAGGTGCTCCTTTTGAGATTTCAGGGCATTGTGCCTCCTAGCACCACCAGTCAACTTCTGCTTATTTTCCTCAGAGTTTTTTTTACTTGTGTAAGAACATGATGCTTGCCTTCTTCCTAAGGGAAGGATGGATGAAGTATTAAGAGAGAGCTAGGGCAAAGGCTGAATTGTTCTCTCCCAAATCATTAAACCTATGTGGTCATTTGAGAGCTGCAATTCTGTCCTTATCTTCTCTGCTGAAATCCACATTGCTCTCTGATATCTTGGTAGTTTCTGTTGTTTCTGCAATAAGGATGATTATTCTGGCTTTGGCTCCTTTTTCAATCCCCAAATTAAGGAAATCAGACTTGTAGGAGAATGTTTGGCTTTGTTAAGTCAAAGTGTTGGGATTTTGTCTGGGATGGGTAGATGAAGGATATTTTTCAAGTTCTTTTCCTTATTATTCCCCTCTGAGAAATGTGTTTGCTTTTAGAGTAGAAAATAATATCTGACATCAGGAAATCTACAGTGAAGCTGAAGGATTAGGGAGATAGTATGGGACTGGGAACTGTTAGTCATAATCTTTAAGTAGTAGGGGAACAGTTTTATTTCTTTTCTGGAGGTTTGAGTGAAGTTAGTGTGTTTGCTGAGCTCAAGACCTAAAGGTCTTTCACTATTTTTCCAGGAAGCCCTATTTGACAAGACTACTGGGAAAGTAATCTTGAAAACATTTAATCTCTACAAGAAAATACTGACGGCTTCTAGAGCATGCCAGGAACAAGGTAAGGGTCGTGTTACATATGCTTAATTAAGTATTGGAGTGGGATACAAAAGGGCCATTTTTGTTTATTAAAGAGTCTTTTTGGTTAGCTAATCTAGAGTTTTCAAATTGACCTTTTATTGAACAAGGTGAACGGAAGTCCTTAGGCTCATAGATTGGAAAGAAATTCATCTAGTATTTCCCGCTTTTTTTTAGAAGTGAGGGATCTACACCCCAGAAAAGTAAGGGACTTGTCCAAGGTCACATAAGGCAGAATGAAGATTTAAACCCAGATCTTCTAATGCCAAATATACTTTTTCTACTGCACCACATGGCCTTCCATGTTCTTAGGTATTATGATTTGGCCTATGAAAACAAGGTCTGAAAACTATTCTTTTGCAGCAGTATGAATTTTCTAAACCCAGTTTGGCCATTATTGTCTCTTTTTACTTTTATGGGCAAACTATAATAGCACTAAAACTGCTTGGATATTATTAATCCTATAGTCAAGAATGAAACTGTTTGAAGATAATGGAGATTATTAAACCTGTAGTCAGGAGTTAACTTTTTTCCCCTGTTCTATAGAGACCTTGATGGCTCCCTGCATGCAGGCACCTGGCTTTAAATATTGTCTAAATAAGTATCTGATGCCATGTTAAGCTCATCTTGCCTTGTAAAATAGAAAACTGTAGCCATGGGGGCATCAGGACCTGGAGGACACTTAATGGCATGTTAAAACTTCCTTTCGGAATCCTAACATTTATCAAGAATTTAGAGGCAGGGGGATGAGAGAGATATGATATGGTCCAGCTAGCTTAGTATCTATCATCTCCTTTCAACCCTATAAATTTAAAGAGCAAATGAGAGAGGAGATTCTACTATCATAATTTGCAGTCATATGATATAAAAGAAACTCCTGAGCCTTGCTATAACTGTCCTTCGCTCAGGGAATGTCCTGGTTCCTGGTTGTATGTCTCTTTTCAGGTTAACTCTGTTTTGGAATCTGGTTTTTTTTTGCTAACTCACCATAATAGTTCATTTAGGATAACTTCAAGCAGTTTTGTTACATGTATGCACTAAATCTACTAGCTTAGAACCTTCTTTCCTTCTCTGTACCCATCTAGTAAGGCTGAGCTTGGATAATCATGAACAGGTAAAGTGTATTCAGGTCCATTGACTGTTCTTAGAGGCCTTGTCTAAACCTCTCATTTTACAGATGAGGAAACAGTCCCAGAGGGACTAAGTGACTTCCCCAGGTCCTTTGACTCCAAATGTGATGTTCTTTCTATTATACCACACTGTAACTCAAGGAGGAAGCTGAAACAAATGAAACAAATAAAAAGGCTCTCTAACTAGTACATATGTGATTGGGAACCAGAAACAGGTTTGCTTCTCAGTGGAAGAATAGGTCAGTTATGATCAGTGGTTTTGCTTTTTGCTGTAATAGTATTGTTTTGACTCCATGTTTGGGAGAATATGAAACAGAATCCTCTGGCATACATTGGCCTGAAAACACTGAATATTATTTAATAGATTGAGAAACAGAGGTTAGTGAATATTTCCTGTTGTTCCTGGGTACTTTCCAATGACTGAATTTCTTCAGACCACAGAATCTCATCATGTTATTGTTGGAAGGAACTTTAGAGATCAGAGAATACACCTCCTCATCCACAGTTGAAGAAACTGAGGTCCAGGGAGAGGAAATGACTTGAAAGCTCGTGTGGAGTCAGGAGTGGGATTCAGTGCTGTTTATTCTCTTGTTGAGTGAAATATGTTTACATTGGGGCAGCTAGGTGGCACAGTGGATAGAGTACCAGTCTTGGAGTCAGGAGGACCTGAGTTCAAATGTGGCCTCAGACACTTGACACTTATTAGCTGTGTGACCTGGGCAAGTCACTTAACCCCAATAGCCTTAAAAAAAAAAAGAAAAAAGAAAAGAAATATGTTTACATGGAGTTTATGAAAGCTTCAATTCAGAGCTCATCTGTTTGAGGCTTGGGAGAGGACCCTTTTTCATTGCCATTATCATTCTGTGGTATCTTCTGAGATTTGACATTATTACATGACTATTAACTGTTCTTATTTTTTCAGTGGTGGTTGGACTGAATGATATTCAGGATGTGAATGTCATAGAGGAGAAAGTTCGATATTTTGGGAAGGGCTATACAGTGGTACTTCGGTTTGCAACAGGTTTTTCCCATCCTCTTACCCAGAGTGCAGTGATGGGTCATCGGAGGTAAGACAACAGTGTCTTGGGAATGGGGTGTAGCTAGGGGCAAGTGGTGAACTTCACCCCCACTGTCAGTGACATTTAGGTTATATATGTGTCTACAGCAGCTTAGAACTTGTTTTATTTTGGATCTTCCTTCAAGTTATTGACATATGTGTTCCATTGTCTCTAATTCTGTTTGGGTCATTAGCACCCACATTAGCATCCTACAGGATTATAGGACTTAGAGTTGGAAGGAACTTTAGATACCATTTGGTTTCAAACACCTAATTTTACGTATTATAAATAAGTGACTTTGGTGAAGGTCACACATAAAAAATAACTGAACCAGCATCTGAATCTAGATTCTTTGACCACAAATATGATGTTCTTTTAAATTTACCACACTACTCTGTTTAAAATCATGGTTGCTGTTAATACTTAGACTTTCTAGCTGCCCCCTGAATCATTTATTTATTTATTTATTTTTTGTGCTTTGTAATTCATTCCAATGGGTGTGCCTTTTGGATCCCACCTGGGATAGACTCTATTGAGAAAGGGTAGTGTTAGAATAGCCTTTTTTCCTTGGAGCTTTCCAGTAGGTGACTTCTTGTTACTATTTTTTGAGTCCTTGAGGAGTAGAATGAAAACAAGAACAACTATCACCATTTTACAGACAAGGAAACTGAAGGCCAAGCAGTAGAGACATCTGCATCTAGTAGACCAAATTGGCCTCAGGTTAGGCATATGCAGTCTTTCATTTGAGCAAAGAAACTGAGAAAGATGAAGTACTTAAGCATAAGCTTTGTGTAAGAGCCAAAGGTTTGGCACTGCCTATAGTAAAAGAAACCTGCATTTCATAATGAAGCCTCAGTAAAGCTGTGTTGAAAGCTAAATTAAGAGCGTGGTTACACAATCAACTCTAAAGCTGTCATCTTCCTAGGTGATTTTAAGTCAAATATGCTTTTTATGTTTCCCTCATACAACCTTTTGACTCTTTAGGGCCTGTGTTGAGGTGGGCAATAAGGTGTTCTGGGTCAAGAGACAGATTGAAAGTGACTCTGTTCCACTTCATGATTCCTTTTTCATTGCAAAGCTTTTATTCCTTGAGGCAGGTCCTAACATTGGCCTGCATTGACCCTAAAGTTGATACACAGTGGAGTCTTTATTTGCTTCTAAACTATTCTAAAAAGGAAGAAATCAATGGGTAGTGGTACCTCATTTCCTTTGAGGTTCACTTTTGGTTATAACCTTCCTACAAATAAATCATAGATTGAAAGAACCTTTTTATCTGAAAAATTTACTCTCTTAGAAGTCCAACAGGCTTCATAGCTAGTTTAGGCTCATACTGTATCCTCTCTTTTTTCTTATGTATGGGGAAACTGAAGGACAGGTTAGCAGAGTGACTTGTCCAAAGTCACACAGCCTGTAGCAGGACCATCAGCATTTCCACCCTCAAAGTTTGCCTGATCCCACACATTGAGGCAAGGGGAAGTAAGAAAAGGAGCAGGAATAGAATGAAAGGGAGATGAGTTGTTGGAGGGATTGGGGGTGAAGAATGAATCTGTTGCTTCAGTTTTCCTGGGCTGTTGTGTATATATGTAAAGAATTTGGGGATGGTCTTATGTGCCTTGGTATAACTTCAATTCTTCCCCTTCCTTCTTTCCACTCCTTATCTCAGTGACGTGGAAGTGATTGCCAAGCTTATCACCAACTTCCTGGAGCTGCACCAGCCAGAGAGCCCCAAAGACTTGTCCCAGAGCAGTGACACTGAGGCCAGTGATGTGGATGACCCCCAGCAGTAGAACTGAAGTTTGACAGGGCGGCCTGAGCCACTGAGTCTGGCTGCCCTATTCTTCCTGCAGCTTTTGATACTTCCTTCTTTCCTCCCTTTTCCCAGAGCAGCTTGCTTGGCTATATTTGGTTTTCATATTGATGTGGGTTGCTAGCAGAGGGATCTATGTTTTGTTTCTGCTTCTCTGACAAAGCTCCCAGCTCACCAGATTGGATCTTAAACCATGTGGCCATTTATTGAGTTTGTCCCTTCCTTCTTATTTGTTGTGTAGTCACAGAACTTAAAGGGACCTTAAAGACTATCCAGCCCTCTCATTTTACAGAGGAGGAACCTGAGGCTGAGAAAGGGAAAGTGACTTTCCTTTCGTCATACAGCTTAATAAATAGAAGAGCTGGGACATGAACCACATCATATATAACTCCATTGTTCTCTCCACTATACCATGTTGCCTTATGCCTCTCTTTCAGGAGTGGGAGATTAGGCTGACATGTCTACTCAACTTTCCTCACCTAGAGTTATCTGGAGAGGTCTGGGCAAAAAGGTTCTTTGAAAATTTTGCTTCAGAGATGAAAAGCATGAAGAAATACAAAATGAAAGAAGGCCTTGAGAGGAATGAGATTGGGGGAGGAATGTGAATGTCAACCATTTGGAGTTACTTCTGCTGAGCAGGAATTCCTAACCTGATATCCATGGGTCCATGGATAGATTTCATGGGACATTTGAACTTAGATGGGGAAGAAAAAAAATTACATACCTATTTTCATTAACCGCTAATTGAAATTTAGCATTTCTTTCAATTATGAATTTTTTACAAAAACCCAGTATTCTAAGAAGGGAGTCCAAACTACGTACTTCACCATACTGTCAATGAAGTCCATGACACAAAAATACTTGAGAACTGGTCTAGAAGCATTTGAATGTACTTAAAATCACATCTACAAAAATTGCTGCCTCGTTATGGGACCAAGTGAGGCAGCTGGTAACTTTGGTTGTTAAATATTTAATTGCTTCTATGAAATTTTAGGGAGCTGACAGCCCCAGCTCTTCAAAGAGGGGCTTGAAGTGATTATGTGGCCATTGCTGGTTGGAGATTCTGTTCTTTGTATACCGTTTAAATGTTTTGTCTCTGGAAATCATTAGGAAGCCAAGTCTAATCTCAGCCTTCTCAAAAAAATTCTCCCCAACTGGGAAGCACAACTGTACAAGTGCTTAAATTAAAGGATCCTATGAGAGGCCGGAAGTCCCAGCTTTATACCAGCCATAGATAATGAAACCCTGCAAATGAATTGAATAGGCCAACTGAGAAATAAGATCTCTTTATACCTCCAGCTCAGGTTCCACCTCACTTAAAGAGGCTGAAGTGAGTTTTGGGTGGGTATATGTAGCAGCAGAGTGTGCCTAACTGTAGCTAGGTATGTTTTGGGGGTTATGAATAAATGAGGAAGTTTTCCAGAGATCTCACAGCAGCTGCCCTTTTTTAACCAGCCTGTCTTTTCTTCTGTCTATGGTGAACCAAAAGGATAGAGTGTATACTGGAACTTGCAACACATGTCTTATGAGGGGCCTCCTTAGTGCATCCAGCTCCAACTTATTGTAAATAGGCCTCACAGGTGGATTATTGTGTAGAATCCTTCCTGTTAGATGTGTGCCCAGTAGGGAGATACTGGCTGCTGGTTGCACATTTAAGTATATTTGAGAAGTCTCAGGTCTCATTTTGAGATCTGTTTTTGCCAACTGTAAAATCAGGTCAGAGAAAGTAACCTTCCTTAACTCTTCCTTTACTTCTTGGGCTTCAAAACTACAAGGCTTATGAAATGAATTTTTAACCAAAGAAATATTACTGTCAGTCCAGAAGGGAAGCCATTTTAGATAAATGGCAGAGAAACTGCTCTTCATTAACTCATGTCAGGTTCTAGAGATTTCATTCCCCGAGTTACCTTTTTCACTTTCACCTTTTCTAATAAGCTATTTGGGGAAACTTGTAAGTGGGATAGAACTCTGGCCAGTGGGCCCAAGCCCAGAAAAACTGAATGAACTGTAGGCAGTGAGACTGGTGGCTTCTGGGAATAGGGTTTGAAAGTTCAATTCCTGAACTGGCATAAACTCAGACCATGCTCATGAGACCTGGCCTGTTTTCTTGCATGTTGTGATGCCTTAATAACCATATTTCCTCTGACTTGGCTTGGATTGGCAGAACTGGGGTATCTGCTCTGCAGCTACTTTGTTTGGCTTAGTACATTTTTTTTTTCTTCAGAAAAGGGTAAGTGTGTTTCTGTGTCAGGACAGATTAATCCAGGATGGGCTAAGTCCTATGTAACATAAATTGGTTTCACTCTTTACATAGCAGCATAGATACCTTTTGTAATTTGCCTTTGGCTGATTCTCTTAAGAAAGGAGTAACTCAGCTAATGGGATTCTCTTTTCCTGCATTCTCTTTTCTAAAGAGTAAAGAAGGCCCAGTTTTAAGCCTACAAAGATGTGCTCGTCTAGAACTTTGGTAATTTGTTGTCCTTTCTAATCTCAGCATCTTCACTCCCTTGTGACTCAATGGCTAGATGTCTAGCTCCCACAGAAAACAGGTGTGGGGAGGAATCTTGGAAGTCATCAGATTTCTTTATGAGAACTCTGAAGACCTGGTAGGTTGTTGGTTTAACACACTGGGTTTTAGTTTTCTGCCCATCCCTGCCCCAGTAGTTTCAGCATTATTTTATGTTTGAGGGTTAGAACTTTGCCAGCTACCACGTCTTAACAATCAGCTGCTAAATTAAAACCCCACTAGGTAGGTGAGACTCACTGCCCATTTCATTCTGGATATTCATAGCAGATTACGTCTGTGGCAGGAATTAGCTTCTAGGACTGAAGGAAATGCACTGGGTGTGCTAGATAACTAACACATTACTGCATGTGGGATGAAACACCTATTCCCCTAAAGTGAAAGATGGATTGTGTAGATTGAAGGTTGTGTTTGGGTGGATCCATCACAAGTCTGTGTAGTCACATAAAGAGGTCATTACTTGTGTGAGACTGAGAGCTGTTCTATTCTGTGACCACAGTTGAACCAGATATTTTATATGTTTCCTGGTCATAAGGTACAGTGAGAATATGAATATCAGGGCATAGCCAATTTCTGTTGAAATGGCTGAAGATGAAGTGAATTAGTCTCTTCAACTTACATTTTACTAGATAATCAAAACGAGTAAGTGAAATCCAAAAAACATTTTGAAAGCTTTTTAGTCATTTAACTCATAACAATTAGCCTTTTTGCCAGTGGCCTGCACACACCCATGTCAAATGCTCTTGGTAATTGACAATGGCAGGGTAGATAGTAAGAGAAAGGCAAAAGAACTTTCCGTAAGCTGGATAATTAGTCCCTAAGTAATTGAGGCTTGACAGTGACTTCTTCATAGATGAATCCCTTGTTCAGATGAATGCCAAGGGCTCTGCCATTGTACCTATCTTGGTGAACTTGGTCCTGACATTGACTCTGTGAATTAATTATTCATTGATTTACCTAAAAACACACAGAACCAGTGGTTTACCTCTGTACCTGAAGCTCTTATTGGAACTTTTTTTCGTTGTGTAGTGCTGAAGGCTGATGGTTATTTGGGGGGCTTTAGAAGAATATATTTTACTTTTACATACATACTTTTAGAAGAATATATGTCTTGAATAATTTTCAAATTTTCCTATAAGCCTGCTATTTCTTAAGGCATGTGGAAAAGTCACAAGAATTACCTCACACTTCAGGACCTCCTGTCCCTAGGAACTTCCCTCTTATTATAGAGAGTGGGAGGTGGGCTTCTGGGAGCTCCGCCCAGATCCTCCACCATTTAAGGAAGGCACTCTGGGCATTTTCCTCATCATTTTCCACCCAGCTGCTTTCCTGGACTTCATCATCTCCAGAAACTGATTCTGCAAGATGAAATCAACCCAGAAACTTATACCTTCTCAGATCATCTTTCCATCCCAGCTGCATGATATTATTGTACTAGGCTATTCCCTCCTTCCACATTCTGCTTTTTATGTGTATTCTCCCCCATTAGACTGTGAGCTCCTTGAAAGCAATGCGTATTATGCCTTTCCTTGTATCCTAGGCTTAGCACAATGCCTGGTGCATAATAAATGTGCTTAATAAATGTTTATCGACTGACTTTGAATTATACCTTTCAACCGTATCATGGCATTTCTGTAGTTATACTTTCTTAACCTTCATCAGTTTTCTTTTTGAGTTAAGCAGACTGTGTCTTGTTGCTACTGAAACACAAAAGGATTTATACTTGACCAGGTGTGCTTTTGTATGGCAATGACAAAAAAGGTATTGGTGTTACAAACATTCTCATGTAATTCAGTGAAACTCAAATTGTGTGTGTAGCTTCCCAGTGCTGCAGAGTTCCTTTCGGCTCTTAGTCTTTCCGAAGTTGGTAACAGAACACTGGGGGTGGGGGTTTGGGGTTGGCTTCTTTGCTTCTGAAGCAATTATGTGGCCAGTAGAGTTCAAACTAACAAGTTTGTGTAAGTCTACTGGCTGTTTTTCAGCAACTGCCCAGGAATAGTCATCATTCTTGATTGGAGAGAAAAGGTAGATTATATTTAAAAAACACAGCTGCTGGAGCTTTTCCAGTGTTATAAAGGAAGTCGTTGTCAGTGAACCATTCTTTCTGAATGTGGCTGAGAAATCTTCCCTGTCTCTGTTTCTATTCCTACAAATTCTTTCACTCATTTGACTGGGCTTCCATTCAAACATTCTCGAAGTCTAGCTTAGGCACTCACATACTCACATTATGTGATTACCATTTACAGTTTCTTAATTTCCCTCCCCAGATATATTTTCCCCAAAAGCTGACCTCAAAGGATTACAGAAGTTCTTGGATTTGAAGAGACCTTAGAGATCATCTAGTTCAATGTGTTACCTGAACAGGAATCCTTTCTACAAGATCTCTTAAGAGATGGAGTCTTCTGTTTGGAAATCTTGTATGGGGGCAAGTAATCCAAACTAATGTAAGCAACCTCTTTCATTTTTGGACTCCTGTCAGGAAGGTTTCTCTTACATTGAGGTGATGTCTACATCTATGCAGCTTCTACCTATTACTTCTAATTGTGCCTCCTGGAACCAAAAAGAATAAGTCTTACATGTAACAGGCTTTTAAATACTTGACAATAGCTAGCTGTCATGCCCCCTTAAGTCATCTCCAGGCTAAATATCCCTGGGTCCATCAAATCCCTGTATGCTACATATAGTCTTCAGTCTCTTCAACATTTTTGGTTACCCCTCTGTGAAGGCACTATAGCTTGCTGATGCCTTATTTAAAATGGTGTACAGAACTGCATACAATATTCCCAGTGTGATCACTTTAGTGCCCCTAAAAAGATTCTATACTAACTCCCCACTGCCTTTTAAAGCAGATAACTAAAGATTGGCAACTTCTGTGGTGTCATACAAAAACCTACAGCAAAGTGGGAATAGGTGGTAGTTTTTCAAGAATGATAGTAAGGAGGTGGTGGCAAGTCTTTCCTCCTTCCAAAAAAACAAAAAAACACCAAAACCAACCCAACCCAAAACACTTTTGTATGAGGAGACAATCCAACAGCAGTTTCCCATGCAACAGGGATGGAATGAAAACTCATTGAACTCATCCCCCTCTTCCCCCCAAGTATCAAGACAGATTTTCAGAGCTCATCTAGTCCAGAGGTATTTAACATGCAGGCTGTTGGCCACAAGATCTAGCAAAGCAAAACTTGAATGCAACTGAACCAGATTAAACTGTAATTGGTAATGCTTAACAAAATAAAAACATAGTATCACAGTTAATGTGTAATTTTTGAAGTCAATATAGCCTACTGAGAACTATTTCTATTTTAGTTTGGCACTACTGATCTAGTCCAATCAACAGCTGAACAGGAATTTCCTCTCTAATATTCCTGACAAGTGGTACTCATCCAGCTGCCCTGTACTGGAAGACCTTTGGTAATGGAAGACCCCACTGGAAGGAGCCCATTCAGCTTTTGGAAAGTTCTAATTGCTGGCAGGTCTTTCCTTTTGATCTAGCTAAAATATGCCTCTGCAATTTCTATGCATTCATTGTTTCTAGTTCTGTGTTATCATTCCCCTACTTCTGGAAGCTCAGCCTTCTCACCACCCCGATCATTCTTCTCTGGTAATATTCTGACACTTTAGTAGGTAAAGAGGATAGAATATACTCCAAAATATTCTGGGAGGAAACTGGAGTGGTAAGGGGCCTCCAAAACAAATCTTATACAATTTATAATTTTGCCTAGAGTCTGAGAGTGTTATTGAAGTAAAAAATCTTAACTGTAAATTTTGGACTCCTTGTATATAGGATAAAGTCTAAACTCCTGGAGGACAAGGTCTTAAATTCTTTATATTCCATCAGTAGAGAACTGTAGTATAGAAACAGTGGTTTCTGAATAGTAGTAACTTGATTGTAAAACTATCACCAAAGGCACAAGTACTTAACCTTCTGTGGGGCTTCAGTATAAATATGAGTACCAGGGTCTAGTCGAGGACCAAGCTACAGGTTAGATGAGAAGAGGATGCTTATTTCAGAGTGATGGACTGTTATTTGTTCCTGTCCTCAATCTAGCTGTGGTTTTAACAAGCTGCTTCACTGTAAATGGCCCTGAACATCAAGAGGCCCAAGTATAGATAGAAGGGAAAATAAGTCTTAGGAGTAATTTCTATCAATAAAGAGTGCTTACTCTATTACATTAAGAGCAATAGGTAGAATGATAGTTTTTCTTTTTAAGTGGTAAATTGTAATCGGTATTAACTATAACCTATACATCTTCTTTTACTTCTTCAAATTCCTTCTGTTGATTATAGTTTTTACTGTGCTACTGTTGGTAAAGGAAGTATTTAAACTTTCTGCATTTGTTTTTGTAAAGGTGCCATGTAGTGGAGAAATATTCCTTTCTGTCCCCATCCATTAATCACCAGACATCTATCATATCTGTTTTTCAGTTTTTTTTCAGGGTGTTTCTTGTTTAGTTTGTCTATTTCACTCTATAGTTCAATTATTTTTTTCCTTCAAGTATTTCATGCTCTTTTTATGCATATATTTCAGTATTAACATGATTTATTTATAGTGACTTCAAGTATAATGTAATTTCCCTGTTTGTATTTTTTTGCTTTTTTACTTTTACTACCTTTTTACTGATGCCCTGTGGAATATTATTATTGCCACTTCTAATTTTTTGGGTTCACTTGTGGCATAATAAATTCTGCTTCATCCCCTCATGGTGATAGCTTTTAACACAAGATCCAGTATCATGCCTTCACACCTCAATGTCTCTTTTCAGATTCTGTCCTACCATCAGATTTTTCAATTATATCCATAGGAACCCTCCCCTCAGCACTGCTTTCATGTAGCAAAGGAGTGGTCTTGGCCATCTGTAAAAATCCCCATTGGGTAAACCTGCTACGTAAGATGGGTCACTTCCATGGCAAAAGTGTTAAGACTGAGCTGCTATTGCTGCATCCAGATCTTGCAACAGCTGCTGTAGCTTCTGGATGGTGGGATGGGTGTTTTCTTCCAGCCACTCCTCTACTGCATCTGGGTAGAAAATTCTTTCAAGTGCTGCCTGCAACTCCTGGATGACAGCATTCCACCTGGTTAGGAGACTGAAGGGAAATGGAAAAGGTTGACTATGAACCTGACATGTGAGTACTCATTAAAAACATGAAATACTATGGGAAGATAGCCTTTTTTTTTGTAAGGCAATTGGGGTTAAGTGACTTGCCCAGAGTCACATAGCTAGTGAGTGTTATGTGTCTGAGGCCGAATTTGAACTCAGATCCTCCTGACTCCAGAGCTGGTGCTCTATCCACTGCACTACCTAGCTCGCCCTGGAAGATAGCTTTTTAAAGGGGAGTCAAGAAATAAAGTGAGAAGCATCTGGAGCTGTTAGTGTCTAGCACAGCAAAGCAAAAATGAATGAATTCATCTAAAGAGTCTTAAGGAGTGTCTGAGTTTAAATTTTGGCTCAAAGGCAATTTTAGCATAAAGTCAGGAAAACTGACAGACCAGGTGCACTGAGTCTGGCAAGGGAGCTAGCACCACTACCTTACGGCATCTGGCTGGATGTGCTGGATCATAACTGGGTGAATCATCTTCCTCTTACGGTGGTAAGGGCTGAACCAGCCTGTCACATACCTGTAAATAAATGCACTAGGGTTGTACTCAAGAGTCATGTGTTTATTATACAAGGCTTTATATGGCCTCTGACAAGACTGAATCTGGCAGAGGCTGATCTGTGCATCTATGTTTTGTTCCCCAAATAGACTGGGTACAGTGAAGGAAGGAAGCAGAATTCATTTCTCTGGAATTGTTCTACACTCAATATTTGCTCGTTAATAACAAACCTGTTCCTTTCTAGCAGTTCATCCACAGAGCGCCTTAGGTGAAAGCTGACTTGAGTGATCAGGGTGAAGACATCACTGCCAGGGAAAGTCCCAGAGCTTTCACTAGTCAGAGAGAAAATCTTCATCAATTTCATAACTATCAAGAGTTTAGGGCTATGAGACAATGGAGTAAGAATGAGATTAGTAGGAATTGGTGGTTTTACCTCATAAAACTGTTGATTTCCAAATCTGACATCCCTAGGTACTGCTCCACTATTTTTTTAACATGGTCAGTATAACCTCCTGAAAGAGAAGCATTTTCTTTAGCAAAGGGAAGAGAAAGAAGCTCTTATACAAGAGTATGCAGAGAAAGCTCCTATTTTATGAGAACTTATTCCTGTTTATTGGCTTGGATGGGAAAGCTGTTTAACCCCTTGCTCAGGACTGGGGACATGAGAGAAAACTTTGGACAGTTTTTTGGGGGCAACTCTCCAATCAGGTAATTCCTCTCTCCTTTGTTCCCCTTTAAGAAAACTATCTTGATATTTCAGGTCCCTTTCTCAAGGGCTATTTCCTACAAGTAGAATTTGTTTTAATTTCTTGGACTATAGGCCTCCAAAGATCTGGCTTTAAGCTCACAAGCCTACTGACAAGATCCAGTCTAGTGACATGTACTGAAATTCAACCAGTATAATAAGTCTTGGTGAGATTTTCCCCCCTCCCTTTGAAAGGCAGCACAATTGCTTAGCACTTATGAAACTGTCCCACAATCTCACCCCCAAACTCAAGCAGACTTTCCAATTTAAAGTAACTCCCTTCATGAAGAATTCAGGGTAGTGGGGTGGCTATGTATTTCTTGTATGAAAAGGGAAGGCCTAGGTGTGTGTGGGAAGCACTCCAACATGGCAGAGTGACTGCACACACAGCTGATCCCCTGTATTCCTGGGAGGAAAAAACACCCCCAAAAATGGATTCTAGGAAAATCCTGGGGTTTGTACTTCAGGATAAAGAGGAAAGTAATACACTGTACCATGTTTAAGTGCCTGCAGACATACTGCTAGGGATGGGATTCCCACAGGAAGCAGCTCACAGAGAACAGAGAAGTGGTCATATCTGGAATCCACCAAAGGAAGAAACATTTTTTAATATTGGGAGGGAACTACGGGAGGAATCTTACCTTCTTCCCCTTTGCTCAGGACATTAGCCTCATTCTATCTATACTTAACTAAGTACCCAGCCTGGGGTCTGTGGTCAGCCACTTTAATAAGGTCAGCCATTTTATTAACATCTTAGACTTTCTTGCCCTCTTGATTTTTTTGCCCTGCCTGCCATTATAGTCCCTAGTCTGGGGTCATTTCCCCTTTCCCCACCCATCTTTTCTGATCCTATTCTGTGACTTCAGATTGTTGCTGGAGAAAATTACAGAAGTGTGCTCACTGGGCTCACTACACATTCATGTCTCCCTCGGCTGGTTTGTTTTTTTTTTTCTTCTTGGCAATCTTTTTATTTCTAACTTCCTAATTCCCCAACAATGCAGATGTTTTAATCCTTTCCTCATCAGTTCTCCCTCTCAGTAGATAAATTCACTTCTTATTTTACTGAGACAATTAAATGCAGAATTCCTACCACCTTGCTTTGTCTTAAGATATTTATTATCTACTACTCCTTCCTTTCCTCCTCTCAGATAAGCGTGGTCTTCATTTCCAAATTTCACTACTCCATCTATGGCCTTGAACCCCTCCTCTTCCGTCCTTAGAAAAGTTGCTCTGTTAATTACTTTGTGTGGTCTCTTTACATTCGACCTCTTCATTAACTCTTTGCCTGCTAACCAGTATCTTCAGATTTCTTCTATCTTGGAAAAAAAAACCCAGCAAAAAACATGACTTCAAGATGCTTCCACCCTGTCACCTTCCTTTCCCACCTAAGTTCTGGAAGAACTGATCTTTGTTCACCGATTCATTTTCTTTGTCTTCCTCAGTCCACGGAAATCTGGCTTCCTTGGCTTCTCTCTACTCAAACTGCTCTTAGATTTTCAGGCCTTCTCCTTAACCTATTTATGACATGACATTTCTCACTACTCTTTCCCTTTTGAAACTGATTTCTGTCTGAGACAATTCACTCTCCTGATTCTTTTACTTCTGTTCTTTTTTTAGTTTCCCTTGTCTTCTTGCACAGGGCAGCTAGGTGGCACAGTGGATAGAATGCGGGGCCTGGAGTCAGGAAGATCTGAGTTCAAATCCTGCTTTATCAACATTAGCTGTGTGACCCTGGGTAAGTCACTT